TGACACTTATTAGCTGTGTGACCCTGGGCAAGTCACTTAATCCCAATTGCCTAAAAAATAAAAAAAAAAAATAGATTTAAGGTAACCTTAAAGTGGAAGGCACTAGCAGCTGGGGTATTAACCAGGAAATGGCTCCTCTAAGAATTCTTAAAGGCAAAGGTGAGAAACAAGAGTATCCTAGGCACAAGAAGAGGGGTGGGACAGTTATTATAAAGGCACAGAGAGGGGAAATGGAGCATTAGGAACAGCAAATAGACCCAGTATGGCTCTATGAATGCAATGGACAGGAGTAAAATATAAGGATACTGGAAAGATAGGGAGGGCCAAGTTGTGAAAAGCTTTAATTGACAAACAGAGGACTTTATATTTGATCCTAGTGGTAATAAGGACCCACTGGAATTGATTAAGTGGGGTGGAAGTGACATGGTCATACCTACACTTTAGGTTGTACACTTTGGCAATTACGTGGAGAGCCATAAAGACTAATTGGGAAGTTAATGCAATAATTCAGCCAAGAACTGAAGTGGGTTGAAACTAAGATGGTGGTTAAGTAAGTGAGAAGGAGACATAGAGGGGAACTATGGAGATAGAAACAATGAGATTTCTCAAGTGATTGTTTATTTGGGGTGACTGAGAGTGAAGAATTACTTTTAGGTTCTGAACCTGGGTGACTGGAAGGGTATTAGAGCCCTCAATAGTAATGGGGAAGGTCTAAAGAGGAGTTGGTTTATATATGTTTGTGTAATTTAGAGCTAGAAGGATCCTTTGAGATTGGGGGTTAGGAAGATTTATCCTTTGTACAAGCTATCTGTGCTTCCTCTTCCTGTCTGGTTTTCCCCCCCTCCCCATCTTTTCCTTTCTTTGGATCTTCTCGTATTTGGAAGCTTGCTTGCTGAAAACATCCCATGTACAACTTTGCTAATTGATGTCCCCTCTTCTTTCCCAGTCAGAGATGAGAAAGCAATCAGATGCACCAGAGTAAGATCCCACCCCTCCATATAAAACCTCTCCATTTCCATGTATTCGTGCTGTGTGGAATAGCAGGAGTGATGGAGAAAATGGCAAGAGGTCATCTCTTACCTGGATCTCTGATACCCTTCATCTTCCTGACATGCCCAGACCCTGTATCTCCTATCCTCTCCAGAGATCTGGTTGTATCTTTGTCTTTTGATGACAATGATGATACTTTATCCTTGCTTCCCTTTCCTTTTCCTCCCCTCCTCAAGCTGCCTTACCCTTTCAAGTTAAGTACTTTCCCTTAAATGAGATCAAAGGCACTCAAATAAAAAATCCTATTGTATTTAGCATTATTGCTGGTTTGCTTCTTTTGTGGAGATCTCTGAGTACCCTTCAAAAAATGCAACAGGCCTGGGAGCCAGGATGATCTAATTCAATCCCTTTAATTTTACTAATGTGAAAACACTAAGCCCTGGAGAAGTGAAGCTGTTCTTGGTCGAGGTGAAGTAAATCTGGGATCTTAACTCTTGTCTTCTGACTCTAAATCCAGTATTCGTTTCACTACACCACGCTGCCTATTATTAACCCCAAAAAGAATGCTTTAAAAACTTAGTTTGCTTCAGTGCTCTGTATAACTTAAGACACCACGTAAATGTATGAGCTATTCCAACCCTCCTTAATGTCCTTCAATAAAGTAAAACCACTCAGAATTCTGAAAAAACAGTTTTCTGGTATATTCTTTCATTGAAGGTAGTCTATTAAAGAGTACTTAGTAGGCAATTAAGTCATTTAATTCTATTAATTTAGACTTTATAATACATTTTATACTTAGCTTGTTAATTGGTAAATGAAACTGCATTTATTTCCAATGGAAAAACAGCAATACAGACCCTCTTCTCTTAGCAAAACTTCTATTTTCAAAGATGTCCCTAATTATTTTGCATTGAAAATGGTACCATTAGAAGGAAAAGGCAGTGTATTTTACCCACAAAAATCCATTTAATTAACATCATTTTGAGAAGCCAATTCTTTATGTTTATTTCCACAGCTTCATTTGACTCCTCAGTGCACCTGAAATAATTTCAGGGTAAGGTAAGGTATAGATGGAAGATAAAAACTCATTCAACATGATTCCATATTTAGTCACTTGGATGATAAATAAAACATTTCCCATTGCTTTTTAAAATATGCTTTACTCTTTTTGGAAGCAAAAAAAAATCCAACAACTAGAAAAATAAAGGGTAGCTGTCATCTGGGGAATAGCTTTATAAATTGTGTTGAATGGAATGAAATATTATTTCACCATATTAAACAATAAATCTGAAAAATCCAGAGAAACATGGGAGGACTAATAATAATATTATTATTAATTATAAGAATATCTTATCTTCACAACAGCTATGGTAGATTGGTTCTATTATTATCCTCATTTACTTATGAGGAAATTGAGGCGACAGAGGTTAAGTGACTGACCCAGGGTTATAAGCCAGTAAAGTGCCTAAGGTCAGATTTGAACATACATCTTTCTGACTCCAAGTCCTGCTCTCTATTCATTGTGCCACTGATATAGAACAAAGTAAAAAGAGCAGGAGGGCAATATGCACAGTAATATAATAAGGTAATGGGGCAGCTGGTAGCACAGTAGATTGAGTTCTCGGCCTGGAGTCAGGAAGACCTGAGTTCAAATCCAACCTCAGAGACTTACTAGCTGTGTGACCCTGGGCAAGTCACTTGACCTTGTTTGTCTCAGTTTCCTCATCTGTAAAATGATCTGAAGGACATGGCAAACCACCACAGGATCTTTGCCAAGAAAACCCCAAATGAGATCACAAAAAGTCCAATGTGACTGAAATGACTAAACAATATAATAATATAAAGAAAAACAATCCTAAAAGACAGTTAAGCTAGACTAATCTTGTCCTGGAAAACAGATAATGAAACACACTTTTTTTTTTCAACAAAGAAGGGAACTATGAGAGAAGAATGTTGACTATACTAAAATTTTTTTCCCCCCAGTCTGCTTTGTTTAACTGTTTTTCTTTATTACAAGGGAAGATTATGTAGGCACCCTGGACTTAATAGTGTAAAAAAGAACATTTATACACATTTTAAAAAAAGTTTTAAGTACTTTGAATTTGCATTTCCAGTTTATAGCTGAATAATCAGTAATTATCCTCTCATTGTGTAGATTAAAACACTGAGACATTAGCACAATATTCTGCAACTCCAAAGGCTCACATTACAGTTAATTTCTGTCAACACATGTGAAACTTTACACAATTAGTTGACATTATAAAGATGTTCCTAATGAAAAAGATCCCTCAGGTCTGAGAAAGAGTGTAAGATTTACTTTTCTACTTACTTACTTTCCTTTCCTACTTTTCTACTTTCTTACTTACTTACTTAACTTAAATTGAGATGGATGTCATAGCTGCCTTCACTACAAATTCATGGCACATAACCTCTGGGGGACCCTCCACAGTGCTTAATTCACCTATTCTACCCTTCTCTCCCTTCTCTTCTGCTTTAGACAACCCATTCCAGACTCTGCTCTCCTCTTGCCTGCCATCACAGCCTGCCATCACAGTCCACCCACCATACTTACTCCAGATGACCTAGCTTCCCATTTTGATAAGGATTTGAGACCATTCTTTAGCAGGCCACCACCTTAATTACCTGCCACTAGTTCTCAAAATTAGTCAGCATCATGACTCTTTTTTTCCCCTTCTTTTTCAGTCAATTCCTCTTCCTTGCTAAGTAAGGCTAATCCCAGCCCTGGCACTTAACTGCCAAATGGGACAAGTCATGTTGCTCTCCTTGCCTCAGTTTCCTTATCTGTAAAAAGAGAGGGTTGGAGTAGATAGCCTCTGAGGTCTCTTCTATCTCTAAATCTATGCTCTTATGATACTCTCTCTTCCCCCCTCCCCACCTCCCAGTCTTGCTTCATTTGCAGAGTTTCTGTCTCACCTAGTAACATGATAGTTCTAGATTACATGCTCTCTATTAAGTGACATGGGAAAGGAACCAACCATTCCTGGCAAAGAGACATATGCCAGGAGAGAGAGTATGGTTTTTCTGAGGTAACTAAAACAAGAAGATTGGAAAGAAATAGGGGAAAGATAGATAGATAGATAGATAGATAGATAGATAGATAGATAGAAAGAACAGGTAGAAAGGCAGACAGATATAAACAGGTAGACAGATAATGATGGATAGATAGGCAGAAGGAGAATTTATTAAGGTTTTACTATGTATTCCAGGCATTAAGTGCTGGGGATAGAACTATAAACAGGCAAAATATTCTCTGGAGGGAGGGTGGGAGATGCCATGGTGGTATGGCAAAAGAGCAACCAGCCCAGTTTTAGAGTGGTCGGAGATGCTGTGTTTGCCCTGTTTCCATTAGTGACACAGAAAGAGTATGAAGTAAAGCGAAATAGGACAAAGGGGAACATGTTAACAGAATGAATGGTTCCAGGAAAGGATGGTGTAACAATTAAAAAGTTTGAGAGACATAATTTCTGGGTAATTTAATCATTTTTATTAATAAGACCAGCATGTTATTAATAAAAGGATGGTCATTTGGTTGGCTCTCTTAGACCAAAGACCCCTCATGGAGGTAGACTCACAGTTTATATACTCTTGGAAGAGTAGGTATTCCTCAAGGTGGAAATCAACTCTGATTGGTCAATAGTCAGTGAGAAAGTGAATATTACAATGAGAGGGTGGACTATATTACAATGAGGGTCTTGGGGTACATGGCTTGGGTCATCCAAATCTCAGTCAAAGGGACTTACCAATTTCCATATCACCTGTCTGACAAAAGGGAGAATCAACGTTTTCCAAATCCGTTTGAACAAAAATAATGAGCACGAATGCACCTGTTAGCCCAAACTTAGAATTTTTTTACTCTCTAATTAGATCCCGGCCTGAGTAAATCTCTGCCTAAGATTTCCCACACTGGTTGATGTCTAGATGAGGAAGTAGAAAAGAGGGAAAACCTTGGTCCTAATACAATAATTAGTTATCAATACCAGAGAAAAATAATCATTTCTCACATTGGGGACAGTGAAGGACTGAGGCAAGTAAGAATTAGACCTGGAGCAATGGGAGAAGGGATTTTCACATCAGTCAACAGTGACTCTGAATCACAGAGATTAAAAAGAGTAGGAGCTGGGAATCTGACACCATAGGATGTGATGAGAACCCTCTTCACATTCCGGGGTCCTACGGTGACTGAATGTACGTGTTTCTGCCTTTCTTTGTATCCCCAGCACTTAGCACAGTGCCTGGCACAGAGTAAGCACTGAATAAATTCTCACTGAAGAGTTGATTGACTTTCTGCAGTGAGTTTGTGGCGTCAGTGGGTCAGTACATTCCACCTATAACTTTCAAAGCTGTCCCTTTTGTGCTTCTCTATTGTCCTTCCTTTTATTTTCTTCTGAG